TGTGAAAATTTTCTGACAAAACAAAAATTACTTTGCATGATAGATAGGTAACATGTGAAAAAACAAAAAGGCACAAGAAAAACATTGCTTTATAAACCTTAAGACTTAATAAAAAAAATTAGATATTTTGCATATGAAAAAAATTATAATGTTTATTCATAATCTGCCAAATTTTGTTAACATTCGCTTACTAATTTCAAATTTATAGCATGTAAGAGTTAATGATGAAAAACTAAAGCATACTGCTAAATTAAAACAGGTGAAATTCCCATTATTATGTTGAGATGAATACAAAACATTAATATTCTAAATATATAGACTTACTATCAGTTATTGTGAAAGTTTCTTCTTCATTTTTCATCGGTTTGATATCCAACAAAACATTCTGCTTCTCATCAGAAAATGGTTCTACCTCCATCTTTAATACTCCAATGATTATACAAAAGCATCACCTGTATATTCTGTAAAAAAAGTTTCACAGTAAGACTACAGAGAAATAACTTAAGAATCAGAAGTTGACCTTACAAGGATTAGTATAAAATTTTTAAATAAAAATTCACATTATCTTGATAGCTTTCATTTCAAGTTATAAGCTTTATCTTTTCACATATTTATATTAAAACAGTCACATTATCTGAAATAAAATTACTTTAATACAAAATCAGTAGTAAAACACTCAGAAAACATTTACCAACAATTTCTAAACATGTAATGATTGAGGATTAGAATATTACCCTATTGATTAGATTAGATACACTAAACATGTACCAAAACATGGAAAAATAGAACTATTTTAATTCAGGAGTTGAATTACTAGCTTTCAGTCTCTCCACAAATACCAAATGATTTTCTAGATGTTTACATAATTTCAACAAACTACATTATAATACATCATCGATAAAGCAGTACTACCCTTACAGATATAAGTTACACTTGACTGGAAGTCACATGATTTTTGGCATGCTCAAGCGGCCACCACTGCAAGGAGTTGAACTTTCAAAGCCTGCCAGTCAAACTGACAATGGCAAGGCAATCTCACCTCACAACTTATGGCTGTTTTCCATCTAAACTAGACATCTAGTTAACCTTGATATTTGATTTTCATAAATTTCTTAAGCCAAGATGACCTAAACCTGATTTTAACTTAGAAATTAGTGAAAAAATAATTCACAAAAAACACATGTGGTCTGCCATACAAAGAATCCATTGGATTTTAGCCTAGATGCTTGGAAAAGGGTAATCTTTAGATTAAAATATGTTCTTATTCCTTAGTTTTTATTGTGTTACAGAAAAATATATATCTCTAATATTATTGCCAGTGGACAAGAGCTTGCACATCATATCCTTTCCTTGATGTGAAGTAGAATGTTATTTATGTATCTGCACCTCCAAACATTCAACGTTCTTAATTGAAGTGCATGGAAATAAACACAATAAAATTCACTTGGATTTATTTGATAATTTGTGGTAAATATTGATGCAAATGGTTTGAAATAAATATATATAAAATAAAAGATTTAAAATAATAATGAACTTAATATAAATTCAAAACTCTATTTAAAAATCCTTTGCACTTTCCGGTCCTTATCCAAAAGTCATAATAGAGATTGCCTGTAGTAATAGCACCCAAAAGTGTTAGGGATACCCCACCTATCAGATAAAATCCAAAAACCAATGAGAAATCAGTCATCAGTTGTAGAACATTTATTAAGGGTACAAAGTTGAGTGCTTACACCCATAATGTCTCAATTCTTACTGCTTTCACTGTCTACAGCCAGTTGTGGGAAGGCAATTACCCTTAAAAAGATGTAATAAATTTAAAAGTAGAAATAAGATAAAATCAAGGCACCCAAAAAATATATATTTCTACTAAACAATGCCTACCATTCTCCACCCTTAAAATTCTATAAAATCCTTAACCCGATGACCACCAGCTACTAACTTTCTATGTAGCCAATGCAAGTCTTGCTATATTTCATTCCAACAATAAAACTAGTGGATGAAACTGTTTCAAACTTCATAAGAACTTACATAAATGCATGTAGTTTTACTTAAGAAACATAAAGCCTGTTACTTTTTATAAATTTAGCTATTTTCCATTATGATCTTTAATATCTTGGAAAATTACATTAGGAAATGGAATTTATAAGAAATGATTACGATGTTTATATTTTTTTCCAGATTTGAACTTATTACTTTTTATGTTTTAGTACATTATTTTGAAATCCCAAAACATTTGTGTCATCCATGAAATGCAAATTTTATCAATTTTTATTTTTTTAATAATCACATACTCTCCTTATGGTTTCAAGGAATATACAAGACCCAAAAATAATATTTGCAAATAAACTCAAACCATAAATGAGTATTTTTATTTTTAACTAGGATTTCATGTTTATATATGTACATAAAAAAACACTTTAATTTTGTTTCTTAAATAT